GGTGTGGGTGTGGGTGTGGGTGTGGGGTGTGGGTGTGGGTGTGGGTGGGTGTGGGTGTGGGTGTGGGTGTGGGTGGGTGTGGGTGTGGGTATGAAGGTCTTCTTCATTCATAACTCACACCCACACCCACACCCCACTCTAGACAATTTCACAATGATAAAGATCGATTGTCAAGAGCAATTGAATATTTGGTCGATAATGGATTGATATATCAACCATCGAATAGAGATCGATTTATTAAAGGAACTCGTTCAAGTTTCGTAATGGCTACACCTAGTCAAATCAAACAAAATAATATGGCTATTGAAGCACTAACCGAATTAAAGTTGAATATTAATAATTATCGACAATTATGGAAACAATGTCTTCTCTGTACGTCTGATGTGGCAGGGAAGATTGATAAACCAGCAATTAATTATATTAGTTCCAATTTATTTGATTTCATTGAAATTATTCATCGTTTGGGCAATGCCAATGGTCCTGTTGCTCAAGAAATATTAAAACCTGGTCTACGTAATGGTCTAATCGGTATCGATCCTGAAACACATACATTTACTTTATCACCTGTACATGCTTTTGAAATGAAAGATGATCGTTACATTATGAATCAATTGAACAAACTCTGTATTCCAGTCATTTCTCAAAACAATAATTCTTCAAAAAATGAAAGAACGTCATTGACCCTCGATCATCATCGAAGTAATAATTCCGATACAATGATGATCGAGTTAGATGAATCTGATACGGTCAATATGACTTCATTAATTATTGATGATGTTCAAGAACTGCAAACACGATTTCAAGCATCAAAAATTTTTACCGATATTCATCCAAATAAAAACGATTCAATTAATAATCTTAAAGAGCAAGTTTCGTTGAATGAAAAAGGTAAGTTTTTGCTCTGTTTTAATGTGATTTCCGTAATTACTTTGATTTATTTTCAACTAGACAATCAAACTGCTTCAATGGCGAGTATCAACAGTATTATCACAGAAGAATGTTCAAATGTATGGGATGTATTGGAAGGTGGTAGGTTTATTTTTTTTTTCACTTAAATTCAAATATAAATATAATTCTAATTTTAGAATTCGTCAATAATAATGGGAAGGATAACGTCATTAACAATGATGAAAAAATCATCCGACATACAACTTGTACAAATGAAGAACACAGTATAGATTTCTTTTCTTTTTAATATTACTTTTTCCTTTTCTATTTAGACAATTCAATATACGATATTAATAAATCCTTAACAACTCAATTCAACAGTACCATTGTAGAAGAAATGTCCACAAATGATAATATGAATAGTAATGCAGCAGTTGATGGTATGTAAAACATTTACATTATGATATGAACTTTCGTTTGTTATATTCAGTTTCGAATTCTGTTGAATATGATTATCCCACCGATGATTCTATGAATATTCGTAATAGTGATACAAGTTTACAATTGCAACAACAACAAAATCTGGTTTTATTCTGTTTATAATACATTCATCATATTAACTGATTATTTTCTTTAGGAATTGACTCCCGAATCATCATCGTTGATTGCAATCGAACAAGAAAATGAGGAATCGTACAGTAGTTCTGAATTTAATTCTATTGAATATGGTAGTTAAATAACTAAGTTCTTTCTTTATGTATCTATTAATAATATTTAGATTTTCATTCCAATTTGGAAACAACATCGTCTCCCAATACAGCATCTTTTGAATATACTAATGTGTCGAAAGATATGGATGAAACTTCCAACGAAGGCAAGGCTAAACTAAATAAAATCTTTGTTAAAATTAGTCAATGTTTATATGATGTTTTATATTTTTCTTTTACAAATGAGATCTTATTGCTTTATCGAAGAAACTTATGTTAAAACCATTCATTGCATTTACAAACACCGATGTGACTCGACTATATAATAATGCTGAAAAAACAAATCGTGTCATTGCATATTTAAAACAAAACGAATTGATTGATTCAATTAAAGATTTATTTGTGTCCAATATTCCAACTAAAAAGACAATTAAACCAGAAATTGGCTATTTAAAGATGTTTCCTGTTTCTATGTCCGCATCAGAAGCATCTTCTTTTGAAACTAAACTTCGAAAAAAAGTTGGGATTGGATTAGATGAATATGTTGACAAAATTTTGAACAATGAAACATCATCAACAAGAAGTCCAATTGTTAATAATATATTTAACACAGCACATCACAATTGGTTATTAAATCGTCATTGGTATGAAAAAATCAAAGAAGGAGAAATCACAGTGTATTTTCAAGACAAAGTTAAATGTCCAGAAGAGAAAATTAGTCCTATAGTAGTGGCTTTGACCACAGTGTCAAACGATGATGGTAAAATAAATTCATTCATTTCCTTGTTAAAATTATATTTTTTTAATTCTTTTCCTTAAGTGACCGATTCATTTGATCAACCACGTTCCAATTTGACTCCTTCTCAACGAACAAACAATGAATTAAAACGTTTAGGTACTAAACGACAAAATCAAACAACTAACGAACCACCAGCCAAACGACAACGAAAACCGAAACGTTTTCCTGATGATGACTTATAATGACAAATTATGCGTTAATGTTTTACCACGCAAATGATCCTCAATAATATGCCTATTTGATCTATTATGTATTGCATATTGATTTTGAACTTATGTACATTTGTACTTATTATATGTGTATTATTTTAATTTTATTATTTTCATCTTTATATCGTGTATCTGAATTTGCTTTTATATTTGTATATACTATGTCTATTACTTCTCATTATCGAGAAAAAACATTCAGAACATTGTTCTTCTATTTTTTTTCTTTCATATTTGTTCGTTTTCTTCTTTTCTATTCTATAAGAAACAAGTAATTGTTATTGTATTTTCATTTCTAATTCTGAAAATATGTCCATTGTTTCTATGGTCTTTTACTTTTATCGTTACTCGTTATATTTGTTATGTACGTACATAATAAAGAAAGAAGATATTATCCTCGAAGAAATCGAACACATTCTTTATCTTGCTAATCTAGTTTTAACAGTTGATAATATCTAATTCAGAGTTCTAGATGATGCGCAAATGTCAATATTAGCAATGGATGTATCAGAATCTAATAAAAGTTTCTTGTTGAATTTTTTTTCAATATGTTGCACCATCACATGTAGCTTTATTTTTACGTCTTATTAGACTTTATCCAATGAATATTGTCAGTGATTTTAGGAAGAGAGAGCAAACTATTTTGGCTATCGTTAATGAAGTTACTGGTAATGATTATCAAGCAAATATTTGGCCAAGCATTATGTCAATTAATCGTATACCAGAATTAGTCGAACAGGTATTACTCAGCAATGAACATGAACGATTATTATTAGCGATCGAACAGTTACAAGCCAGATTTGAGTTACAACCTCATCGTTTTCAAATTTATCAACTAGTTCCAAAAACTAAAACATGTATCATATGTCAAATTAAATTAAAAGAACCAGAGTTTGATGAAGCATGTATTATTATTGGTCGTAACAATGTATATAATGGTATACTTTATAAAAATGAATGCTGTGATATTATTTATAAATATGGTCATATGCGAAATCGTCGAACACGGGAAAGATTTGTTGTATCAGATGCAATTTTTAAACAAGAATATATTCATTTATTTGATCATTTAATTTATGAACGTATATTGATAATTGGATTTACCAACCTTATCCAACAAGCAGCATCGAATTTCCAATCATATACAAACGCGACTAATACTGATATCGATCAAAATCAAAGTTTTCGTAAACAAGATCCTGTTCAAGAGAAACTGCAACCAAAATCTTTTGCAACGGTAAATATTCTTGCATGACTATTGATAAATAAATGTTTGATGTTTTTTGATTATTTTAATATAAGGCTTGGACATGGTTTGAAATATGTCGATACCTTTTCTTCATGACAAATTCACAAACCATTGAAATTCCAGATATTATCCAACGTTTTTCACATGATTTATATTTCGAAGCAAATAGTCTTTTTTTTTTATGAACTCTTCGTTAAATTTTGGTCTCGTCATGGACAAGTCAAAGGATGCGAATGTCAAGCCAAAGATACATGTATGCTCAATTTTGTATTTGATACGCATATGAAGGCACATCGACTGGTATGTGCCCATACCGGATCATGTGATGAATCAATACCAGAATTAGGGCCTGTGGCTATTGGCTGTCCTCGTCCACCACTTCGTTCATCATCAAGTATATTAAAAAATGAATTAGGTATGTATAGATAACATTTTCCATAATATAACTGCTGATTCTATTTCTTTTTCTTCAAAGCTAATGATAAGAGCAAATGTAAATACTATTGTATAAATCATTACAATCATTCTTTAATTAAAAACGATTCACCAGATCCTTTAGTTGCTCAAGCACTTGAACGAGAACGTATGGCAGATATATTCGAAGCAAATGATGAATGTACTGTTCATCGTGACGAAGATGATCGAGAACACAAACGACGTACTGCTGGTTTTATGGCTATTGTTTCAAATTGCAATGTAATTATAGGATGGAATGAAAGTGTTCGTTCTGAAGGAATGCGTCGTAATGCTTATCATCTATTAAAATACCTTCTTTTAGGAGGAATATTACCACCTGCTGCTGCTTATGATTCGGCTTGTACATTTGTTGCATATTTAAAAAACCAATATTGTATATCAATTCAACAATCACCTTATGTTGATGAATTATTACAGAAAAAATACTGTATTGACCGATTCCATAGACGTAATCACACACGACCTGAATGTAAAACCACTTTATCATGTTCTCATCCTGATAATCGCCCGTTTTTTGATAATCAAAATACACAAGTTTGCGAACAATTATTTTCACATTTTACAAAACTTAAAGCTACATTACGATCAATTGCATGGCCATATTCAAACATATTTTATTGCATTATTTTCCATTTACGAAATTGTTTTCATACAAACATCTTTCCAGATAATCTATATTTAGCTGCTAAATCAAATATTCCACCACCTACCAAAAAATTAATTTCGTGGGTACAAGTAATGGTAAAGTTGCTATTTGTAACCCAATCCTTAATTTATATACTCATTTCACTTTCTTTAGGCTTCTCATATCGATGAAATAGGTGAACAAAAACGATCTGAAAGTGATGAAGAAGATAATGATATTCAACATTATATCTACGATTGATTTCAATAAAGTTCAAAGATCCATAAACTTGATTGCATATTCCACAAGTTATTTTTTACCATAATGACGTTTATTGTATTGATAATACATATCTCTCTTTAACTGTTCTTGTTGTTGTCTATGTCCTTTTTTATATTGCTTATTTTATGTATATCTTATTGTGAAAAAATAAATTAATTCATTTAATATATCAAGTATATTATTGTAATTCTATTTAATATGCATGTCATCACATATGAATAAGCATTGAGGACTATATTCTTTAGATGTTTCCTACAAAAGAAAAAATTAAATACTTGGTCCATTTGATATTTTCTTTCTAGTTTTTACGTGTTCACTATCGCAACTATATATTAGCACGTTAAAAGATATTGGTTGTATTACTTCATGAGAGATCGTGAGAAAAAAGAGATTTTCGAAAACAAATGTGTAATCTATTGTTTCATTTCAAAAAATATGATCGAAGTGACGGATTACGAATTTAAAAACATCTATGTCCTAAACTCGTAAAGATTATCAAAGACTTCAGAAGACTTCATCAGACTTCGTTAGACACTGTGAGAGTCTAAAAGTATAATACTATTTTAAAAGATTTCATTTAATTGTACCATCAAAGTTTTTCACGTTTCTTTTTGCCATAAACAAAAATTATAACAAGTATTTTTGTTATTTCTTTGATATTGTTTCCTCTGTGCGTTATTTGCTACCGCTCAATATTTTTTAATTATAGAATTAACAATCAATGAATTTAAAGTATTATCTAATACGTTGAAAATAAATTCGTTCATATATTAAATAAACATAATGACTTTTTTGAATACATTCATTACGTACAAGTATTTATTTTTACATGAAACGAATCTATATCACACATGTACAATGTATTTCACAGTTCAAAAAGACACAAATTATTTGTAGTCGGTGATTGCTACTGATATTGTAAATTTACAAGATAAGATATCATTCAGAGTGCCTGATTTCGGTTGAGAAGCTATACATATTTTATACTAGATCAAATTATGATTAATGAAGAAAGTAAAAACAAATACACGTTATGCATAATGCAGATAGAAGATTGAATTTTCCCACATGACTCAATTATTATATTAATAATTTTACTCGATTATCAAATTTAATTTTTCTATAATCATATCCTTTTATTACACTTTTTTGTCCCGATTAAATCTAGAAATCTTTGATAAAATGAACATTGAGTTTTAAAGTCACTCAATGGAATAGTCATCCAATAGATAGGTTTTTTGTTTTTTTTGTTATTGAACTAAATAAGAACCAATCAGTAAATACGATAGAGAACTGTCCAATACATATTTAGTATAGTGACCTCCAATTATGTTGTGAATTACGCTGCTATGTATAAATGTTAGACTGATTCCATCATCGATTATTGATAAAAAAAATCGATATTCATCAATCAGCGATTTACAGTCTATTACTTTATCTTTGCCTATCTGATCTCAGTTATAAATTGTAAGGCTTTTTATTGTTTAGATTATTCAACTATTATTCTCACATGGTTATACTGCATTTAGATTGCATATTTATACAAGCAACAGTTGAATATATATGATGTCGAATGATATCTCTAATGGAAATGGTTCATCAGTTGATAAGTAGAAATTTCATCAATTGTTCTATATTGAATATGGTATAAAAATTTATAGTTTCAGAGATCATCTTGATTTACAACATCAGACAGATGTACATCAAACAGATTTGAATTCAAGTAATGATGCTTTATTTTGAATCATGAAGGAATAACTAACTGTTCATTACATTTTTTTCCTACGTAAAACATTGATTCGACGTTGTGCTCGAGGACGTGGTGTTCAAATATATATGGCCCGTCATGCTTATCGTGGAGATACATTATCATCACTGTTATCTTTGTCCAACCAACATTGTACTACTAACCTTAATATGTATAAAGGGTGTCTCTCACCATCATCCTTAAGGTAATATTCAATTGTACCTTTCACAAGTATTAATTTAATAGATTATTTTGTCTAGTTCTATAGAAACATCAATTCAATTGAGTGATCTAACAGCTATATCCAAAGAAGAAGCACAACAAGGCAAACAAGATGTTGTTGACAAAGCATGTTCATTACCAAATCCAATAGCAAGTATTGAATATCAAGAGAAAGAGATATTCATTGATTCAATAACTACATACAAAACAGAATCACAACAAACAGAACAATATGTTAATGAAAAAGATGCAGATTTATTATTATGTACACAAGCAAATGTTGAATATATAAATGACAATATTTTATTGAATATTCAAAACACGTATGTCATTTTTTGGGAAAACGTAAATTATTTTCACTGAAGAACTTTTTAAGGCTATTGTTTCTCGCTTGTTAAAAACGAAAAAGAAAACTTATTGAAATAATTTGATAAGTTCTTTGACAAAAATGATATGTCATCTTAAAGAGACTATTAATCAGACGGACATATGAATGTATATTGATACTGACTATTAATAAATTAAAGCTTATGTTTTTAATCATTTTGTTTTTTTAGAAATCAATTGGTACCGATTGAAAGAACTCGTCATTATTTATCTCGTCCACAAATTGAATCTGAAATATTCAATATGATCAACAATATCCTGTTATCTGATCCTAACCAAAAATGTTCATCATTATATGTTGCTGACGCTCGATGTCATTTTGATACATTATTTGACAAGTGAGTATATAACTTCACGGAATATTTATTGGATTGTTGAATATTACTTAGATTAAATTGTCCAAATCAAACTGTTTGGAAATATTTGGAACATAATCATCGAATCTACGAAAAAGGCATTGATATGTTATACATAATCCAAGCTTATTTTGCACCTGGCCATTTTCTTGAAGGTAAATATATTCTTTTTATAACAAAGCTTGTTTCCTCTATTTAGAAAATTAGAAACAAAAGTTTTCCAGATATATGGGACATCCAATTGTCTATGGTGTTGTTGGAATGCATCCATTATATGCACATCATCTTGATTTAACAATGGAGTTGAATATACGACGTTGCATATCACATCCGAAGGTGAAAGGTGTAGGAGAAATTGGTCTTGACTATTCAAGGTAAAGTATTCATGCTACCTCGATTTTGATCATTTATTTAAAATACAAACTTTGTTCTTTATTAGTACACTAAGACCATCTGATGATTCTCAAATATATGCTTTTGTTCAACAACTATCTATAGCTCGTGAAAAAAATCTTCCTGTGGTTGTTCATTCACGAAACAGTTTTATTCAAACAATGGAAATATTATGTCAAGTAAGATCAGTTTTAGATAAGAAAAGAATACATGACTATTTCCTTTTGTATTATTCTAGGAATTGCCAAATGATCATAAATTATGCTGGCGTCAGTTTGATTATGGAAGTGAAGAAATGGATATATTAAAATCAAAATTCAATTGTGTATTTTTTGGGTGCAGTCCAAGTATTTTTGTGAATGAAAATATGAAAAAAACGATTCAACGTGCAGATATCAATTCATTACTTATTGAAAGTGTTGCACCACATCTTACAATTGATGAGGCAAGATCTTTTGAAATTTACTTAAATATGAAGCATAATTTTATTTCTTTAGTGTCCTCATGTTTGGGAAACACATCCGATTTTTGTCGTAAAAGTTTATCAATGTGTTGCTGAAATGTTCAAATTATCCATTAGTGAAGTAGCTGAAAAAAACATCAACAATATGAAGAACTTTTACATGCTGGACTAAATTGTTCGATGATTTACAATTTTCTTTTTGCATATCTTGTTATCACTTGCTTATTTCTATTTGTTATTATTTTCTCTATTGTTTCTATGATTCATTGTTGTCTTTTATTTACATCGACCTATTGATGCACTTCATCTGCCTCTATTCTTTATGAACATCATAGTGTTTGCATATTTGTTACATCAAATTCATATCGAATAAAAAGATGTTTAGACAAAGAGATTCATCAGGATTTTTATTTCGGCAGCAGAATCATTAATCAAAATCAATTGATGTATTTTCCAATCCTGAATGAAAATAAAAGTCTGTGAAGAGTTCGTTCCATATATTACATAGATAAAGATGAACAAGTAATCGATCATTTGCTTGAACTTACTATTGTTCTACATTTGAGCGAAACTCAACATAATTCTTAATATTCAACGTTGGTGACTATCTAGTAATTATTTTTTGTACCATTCTATGTCCAATGATGTGATAGTTGGTTAGAGGATTGAGTTTAGCTTAGAATATATATAAATAAAAAATGCTTTCATAATCTTAATTTAAAAACTTATAAAGAATTGACTAAATCTATATTAAGGTATTAAAAATGAGTTTTATTTTGACGAAGGAAAAAGAAATTTTTTTGTATGTAAAGAGATTCACTTTATTATAAAGTATCAGGTTTTTATATATTGTGAAAACCTTTTATTGAACGGGTTACGCGGAACATTGATTTTATTTGAAAAGAAAGCAGAATTTGATTTTTTTAAAATTTAATAGATACTTTTTAAAAGAAGGGAACATTTTGGAGATTGATTTTGAATTTAGAGAAAAGATGGAAAATCTTTTTTTATTCGATTTCAATAGATATTTTTTGCGGTGCGGAACATTGATTGCTAGATCAAGAAAAAGAATAATTTTTTCTTAAATTCGAAGTAAATTTTTTCATGAACGGAACATCCGGAACATTCAACGATTGGTTGCTTTTTCACAGAACGTGAAATTTTTTTACATTAATTTGTTGTTACTTATGAGATAG